CACTCCCGCGGCTCCGTGTGTCTCCGCAGGCTGCTGGGCGGTGACGGGGCCCCGCACCGTGCTGGGATTCCTCGGGGGGTCCCTGTCGGTGAACTGCAGATACCAGCGCGGCGATGAGATGAAGCCGAAATTCTGGTGCTATCTGGCAAAATTTCTTTTAACCTGTGCTGATGACATTGTCGTCACCTCGGAGCTGCAGCCCGTGGTGCGGCGGGACCGATTCTCCATCAGCGACAATCGTGCACGGAAGATATTCACGGTGACTGTGGAGGACCTGGCTGAGGGTGACACGGGCACCTACTTCTGCGGGGTGCGAAGGGGCACATTCCGGCCTGATGAGAGTCATGGTGTAGAGGTGATTGTGTCCCCAGGTCAGTACTTTTGGGTTCCCCAGGTCCAGTGGTGGTGTCCCCTCCAAGTGCTGGGAGCAGGGGCTGCAGCGAGAGGCAGCCCAGAGGAAGTGTGTGCCCAGGTCCTGTGGGGCAGCCCCAGGGTGGTACCAGGGCTTGGCAGGCTTCTACCACAGCAGGTACCACCTTCACCCATTCCCCATGCCCAGGTCTCACCACGGCCCCTCCTCAGCACCCCAGGGTGAGCCACCCCCTTTTCTAGGGCAGCATCCTGCTCTCCATGCCCCATTTCCCCCTCTCATCGGGTCCTGCTGGCCCTGTCTGCTCTCCTTGCCTTATTTCATAACACCAGGGAGTTCCTCACCCCCTCGTGCCACCCCATTTCCTCCTCTGGAGCAGCCAGTGCCTGTGGGCACCAGGCCCTGGGCTTAGGGACTGTCCCTTTCTGTCCCCTCGCCAGGGACCAGCCCCGGCAGTGGGACACTTATATGGGGCTGTTGTGTTAGTACTGGGCTGGGCATGCGGTGCCAGACCCCCTTCCCTGCCAGGTGTACTCTGCTGCGTGCATGCATGCGTGTGCGCATTTTGGGGGGATACTGGGACCACAAAAAGCCTCCGGGCAGGGGGTTAGAGCCCTCCCACCTCAAGGAGCGTGCTCTGGACGTGGCCGAGGAGACGCAGCATCTCCTGGTGTGATGGTAAGTGGGTCACTTCTGTCTCACTGCAAAACCTGCAGCATTTTCCCCAGCGGAGGCAGGGAGACTGGCTGACCTCTCCTCTTTTTGTTACAGCCCCTACTCCTTCCTCCACAGCATCACCCTATTCCCCAACCGCTGAGGACAACGATCTCACTAGCTCTGTATCAGTCCCCACACAGACAACTCCCCAGGGACAAGCTGTGCAACCGGGATCAGATGTCTCCAACCCCAAAGGCTCCAGCCCTCCACAGTGAGTACCAGCTTCTGCCCGCAGCAGCCGCCTTCCTCCATGAGGTCTCTGGTGCAGCTGGAGCCCTGCAGCCCTCCAGGCTCTTCACACCTCCCTTAAGGATTCAAATCTCCTGCTTTTGCCTTTAGAGACCAGCATTTCGTCCTCTCAGCCAGCCATTCCACATGGGAAATAATCCCAGCAGCGCTGGTCGCTTGGCCCTGGCAAAGCCCTGCTTGTCCCCTGTCCATCTTGCAGCTTAAGCCAGGCACAGGTCATCACCAGGCGAGAAGTAATTTCTGGCTGCAGCACTGGCTCCGTTTCCTTCCCCAAAACTCAGAGGGACTGTTTGTTTGTGGGAAACCCCAGTGCTGGGCTGGGTCCTGTTCTGCTTTGTAGTCATGTGCAACATGGCAGAGATGGTTGATAAAGCACGAGACCCGAGCGGCAGAGCTTCCTCCCTCCTCTCCTGCCTCTTGGAGGCCATGCAGGAAGCGGGCAAAGCTGAGGCTTCCCGTCAGCACGCTCGAGGGGTGGCACATGCACGGACCTTGCCTGGTTGCCCATTACAACAAGGTCAACAAATAGTGGAGCTAAACCAGAGTAAAATTAGTTGCAAGAACTCATCGTTAAAATAGCGAAGACACAGCAGCTCTCAGACCCGCGTGTCCGTTTGCTTCTGCAGTTTTCAGCCGGCTTTGCTCCGTGCCCAGCTTGCAGCCTGAGCACCCCTACGCCTGCTTCCCTTCCTCCCGAGGAAGCCCCGTCACCCACCGCTGCTCCCCACACCTGCTCCGTGCTGGTTGCCCCCCGAGTCTGCTTCTGAGGAGAAGTGTGAGAACAGAAACTCTTTTTTTTTTTTTTTCTTGCAGCTTGGATGTGGTTGAGCATGTTCTCATTCCAGGCACCATCATCGTTCTTCTTTTGCTTGCAATTGCTGCTGGGGTTTTGGTAATACTGTCCAGGAAGAGGAAGAAGGGTAAGCAAAGCTCTCGCTGCCACGCACCCCCTGTTTCTCTACCAGCCCGTCTTCTGCTATATTATTTTTTTTACTCTATATTTCTTGTTTCTCCCCCATTCCCTGCCTGATCCATCCAGTCCATCACTGAGACCTCCACCGAGGAGGTCTCTTTCCCCCGAGGGAGCGGTGGGACCATCGCATGGTTCACATCCCTGCGGGAGCGGGGAAGGGCGGCTCTCGGGATGGGTGCTGCCTGGCACAGCACCCGCTGGAGTTTGTCTGAGCCCCGTTGGCTTCTCCAGATGCGCTGTGTTGCTCAGGCCAGGCTTGCTGCAAAGTTTAAGGCCAGCGTGAAGGATGGGGAGGGACAGGAGAGGACATCACCACCTGGCAGGTGGGGTCCGGTTTTATTTGAAGAACTGCTCGAGTTTAGATGTCTGACAGGGCAACAGGTTCCCTTCCTGCTTACAGCAAGATTTGCAGCAGCAGCGCAGTTTTGTAATAAGTTTCTTTTCCTCTGGTTTCACTCGTGTCTAACCACGTCCGTGCTTCATCCAGCCCTCTCCGCAGCAGCTGTAGAGATGGACGGGATTCACAGCGCATCACATACAGTAAGGCAATCCGCATGTGGTCTTGGAATATCGTGCTCCGAGCTCACCTGGGGAGGGGAAACATTGCACCCTGAGCTGAGCCAACAACCTGCCTGATCCGAGTGCTTTCAGCCAGGCTCATGGCCGTTTAGGCTGGGAGGGATCCTTCGGGCTCCATTCGCCAACGGGAAGACCCGACCAGGGATTTGGTGTGACTATCGTGGAGTATTCCTGAGAAGGGAATTTAGGATTTAGGGCTGAGAGGTTCCTCCCCAAGCCCCTCCAAGCAGGGGAGCCGCTTCTCGGGGTGAAGGAACCCACAGCAGAGCACACCTGAGGAGGCTGTTGGGCAGCTGATTTTCGGTCACTGCTTGGGAAGTATTTTCTAATGTTTTCTGCCGGCTTTCGAGGAGGGGCCGGTGTCACTAACCGGATTTCCCCCGGGAAATGTTGAACCAGCCCTTGCTGCGGGGTTTAATTTTCCCCCAGTGCTCCTGCAGCCGTGTCGGCTCTCAGGACGGGAGATGTTCCCATCCCTGCCAGCTGCAGGCAGGGCTGCAGGCAGGGGCTGCAGGCAGGGGAGCCGCGATAGGTTAAGAGCTCACCCCTCTCCTTCACGTGTCAGGGAGAGGATACCTTGAACTACGCGGACGTTAAGCACCGCAGGGGCACAGCCGAGAGCCAGTTGTACAGCAATGCCGAGGCTTTCCGCGGTTTGGTAAACACCACGACCGAATACACGGAGGTCAACCCGAGCTATGAGGTGGGAGAACGCAAAGCAGCGCCGAGCTCAAGGTGCAAGGTGGAAAGCTGGGGCGGGTGGGCAACGGCGTGGGCAGCGGGATGGGTTGGGTGGGCACAGAGCGGGCCACAAAGGGGATATGCCGCGCTGGGGTGCAAATGACCCTGGGTAGTGTGGGCACCCTCTCCGGTTCCCACGGCTGCTCCTGGGTGCTTAAAGCAGCCAAGAGAGGTTCCAGCAGATGGTGTTGCCCTGGAATAGCCCTGTAAAGGATGTTTTCTGTTTATCCCCCTCCTTCCCCAGAATTTGGAAGAGGAAAAAGATGCTATGTATGCCAGAGTGCGGAAGTCCCCGCCGAAGAACCAGGAGATCTACGCCAACGTGCCGTCAGTCCCACGGCCCAGAGAAGAGCCCCACAGCGCAGTGCGGAGGGCATGAGCCGGTCCCGGCCCCGCGGGCTGCTCCTGCGGGACACACTCAGAGGGTCGGGCTGGCTTTCCTCTCAGGCAGGAGCTGGCCTGACAGGGGAGCTGCTGCTCTCGTAGGCTCGGACGTTTCCTTGGAGCAACCTTGAAGAGCATGAGGTTGAGCAGGAGGTGCGGAGCGGGATGAGGAGGAAATCATCCCCCTGCATTTGGAGACCTCACCCATCCAAGCGATGGTGCTGGGAATAAAAAACTGCCTTTGCATTGGGGTAGCCCAGGCCAGAGACCGGCCAGAGAAGGTGTGGAAGAGCCCGGCGGCAGGAGGCGAGGGTGGGCTGGGGGCTGCGGGTGGGCTGCCTGGCTCCCTGCACCCACCGCCCACCCTGCTTTCCCCCTCTGGGCTACGTTATTCACATGGGCTGCAGCTCCCAAACCTGCTGGTCGCCTCAGACTGGCTCTTATTCATGGCGATGCCGGGCAGAGCGGGCAGCTCCTGGGCAACAGGACAGCGGGAAACGTTACATCCAAATGCATTTGTTATATCCAAATACCGGATCTCTGTGCAGATAGGGTCTCGGTGCAAAGGAGATGGCAGAGGTGCTCCCATCCCTCCTGCGCAGCTGCTGGGAAGCGGTTCCTCCTAACGCCCTGCTCCCACAGCCCCCAGGGAGGTTTGCTCCTGCTCTCTCCCCTCCACCGCCCCCAAGGACCCTCCAGCTGGGAGCACTGGGACGGGCTGTAACCGTGACCCTGCTCTTCTCTGCTTTGCTGATAATTTATTTGCCGGCAGCCACTAAGTACGTTCTTCTGGGTGAAGTATCGCTCCTTTATCGGTGACAGCAACTGAGAATCTGATAGGATCTAACGCCGTATTTGGCTGTATTTGCGCAGCAGTTTCCCAGCCCACTAAAGGGTTTTTTTCAGAGTTTCACCCCAAAAGCATGTCCGGCCCCTCGCTGGTGCCCAGGTGGACTCCAGCAGCGTGGGAACCCAGATCTTTAAGGGGAAGGACTGTGCTGCTCCAGCATGAACCCGCTTCCTCTTTCCCAGCCCCACCACCCGCTGCTGTGGAACCGCTCCTCACGGGACGTCCCACGGGGCCACAATTTGGGCACAGTCTTGCCCGCTGCGTGCCAGTGCCCTCCTCTGTGCACATTCCCTCTGCTCCTGCCCAGTGCCGGGCAATTCATCCATCATGATAACCCACTCCTCCAAAAAATAAGTCACGGGGATGGGCATCTGTTTGTGAGGCTGAGCCGAATGTATTTCAAGGCTTCATTTGGAGAGAATTCGTTAACTTTGTTAACTGCTGCAAAGCTTTGTGTCAGTATTTTTGTAATTATTTTATTCAAGAGGCCACGTGGAGCACCGCTGCTCTGTCAAAACCAAAGGCAGCTGGAATTAAATGTCTGTGGGACGACAGTTGTGGTTATTCCTATAGGATATTCCTATATAAGGTTATATTTCTACATAAGCAAAATTCCTCCTGTGTTCAGTCAGGAGCTGAATGCACGCGGGGAACAAACAGCGATGGCACAGACAAGCATCATTGCAATTTGCAATGAAAACGATCCAGCCAGACCCCAGCCATTGCTGGGGAAAAAAAAAAAAAAAAAAAAAAGGGAAAGCAAACCCCTCCGCACCCACGCGGACAAACTTCTTCTGCCGCAAATTTCATGTGGAACTGGGGAAAAAAAGAGAAAATCTCATATTGCTCCTCCTGCTTCTCCATTTATTACTGGAGATAATAACACCCCTTCTCTGAAGGAGTCAGGAGGAGGAATCAGTCGGATTTTTTTTTTTTTAGGGAAGCAGGTCCCATTATGCCATATCTGGAGGTAGTTTTCATGCTTTAAAAAAAGAACTAAATGGCTTCCTTAAATTAAAGCCCTTGCAGCAGCACTAAGGCAGAAATAGCTGCCGGCTGTGTGACGGCGAGGTGCGGGGGGCAGAGGGTGCGGGTTCCTCGGGGCGTGCAGAGGTGGGGTGTTCAGCAGCACCTTCTGCAAGAGCCATTTTGAGCACCAAAGTTTTAATATCTGAAGACTTTCAAGTTTTCTCTGGTAATTTTAAGCGTGTGAGAAATTTGCCTTTTCTCCAGCGTCAGTGGTGTTTCAGAGCAGCTGTCGGCATGACAGAAATAACGCCTGGCGGGTGAAACCTCTGCACTTTTGGTGTTGGAAGGGCTGACTCCTGATGAAAACGGGGCCAGGAGCAGAAAACGTGAACTCTTCCATGCACATGGTCCCACGCATATGGTTTTGCCCGGAGAGACGAGTTTTCCCTTCCCACGGACGTTCGGGCGCTATAGCTCCGTGCAGCCGGGCTGGTTTCAGGGACAGGGATGCTGATTTACACTCTGCAACCAGCTCTGCCCCAAAATCATGATTTCTGAGCTCTGGCTGCAGGAGTCAGCTGGAAGTGGAGATGTCCTATCGCGGTGCACAAGCCTTCTTGTAACTCGCCCCTTCCTGAGAGGCAACAGTCATTTTTTCTGGAAGCACCAAGAGCCGCTTCTCCACCACCTCCTCCAGGGCAGAGCCCCAGCGAAGAGGGACAGCGGGAGGGGGATGGATGCAGGAGTATTTTGGAAATTCATTTTCAGAGCCAGGCTCAGTTTCTAGTGCTGTTGTTCACACCCAGCAGTGAACCTCACGGGTGAGGGAGTCGGGCACAGCCAGGCAGGGATGCTCCCTGACATCCACCTCATTGCACATAGTCCTGCTCCCTTCTCCACCTGCCCTCCATCACACTCGTATTTCACACACTGAACCCCCATAACTGGTTCAGCTGTAGAGAGGATGACTTCTCGAATACTTCTATACTCTATAACAAAAGTTGCTAATACTCACGGGTGCTCAGCAGCAGAGAAAAGTCTTCCCTTGGGCAGGGTGGGAAGACAGAGTCATAAAATCATAGAATCGTCTACGTTGGAAGGGACCTTGAAGATCATCGAGTCCAACCGTCAATGGAAGGCTGCCAAACCCACCACTAAACCATGTCCCTCGGCACCACGTCTGCCCGTCTTTTAAACACCTCCAAGGATGGCGACTCAATCACTTCCCTGGGCAGCCTGTTCCAGAAGCAGCAACTGAATCTTGCTGGAGAGAAAAGTGGTACCTGGGCAAACAGGTTTTTTTTGGTGGTGCCCAGTGGTAGGACAAGAGGAAATGGGCACAAACTTGAAGATAGGAAGTTCCATCTTAACATGAGGAGGAACTTCTTTACTTTGAGGGTAGTGGAGCACTGGAACAGGCTGCCCAGAGAGGTGGTGGAGTCTCCCACTCTGGAGCCATTCCAAACCCACCTGGACGCCCTCCTGTGCAACCTGTTGTAGGTGACCCTGCTCTGGCGGGGGGGTTGGACTAGATGATCTCCAGAGGTCCTTTCCAACCCTGACCATTCTGTGATTCTGTGAAACCGGGAGCCCGCGGGAAGCTGGGGAGAGAGACAAACCCCAGCAGGATAGAGCGAGGAGAACTCCCCCCTGCCTGGCTCATTAATGAATTCCTGTAGCCTGCACAGCCCCCACAAGGAGAGATGAGCAGATAGGGCGACCCAAGCAGAGAAGCAGCTTTTCTTCTGCTCCTGCCACAGCAAGATTTTAAGGAAGGGGAGACCACGCAAGCAGCCAAGTGCAGAGCCCGCGCTAAGGAGACGGGGTGCCGCTGCCAACCCCACTTTTATGCCCCCTCCCTGGCAGCAGGAGAGCAAACGAGGCAGAGCCGCGGGGAAGCCTTGGCTCCATAACCAGGAGGTGGGTGTCTGTCTTCTGCTCCTTGGGGTTTCTTTGGCTCCGGGCTGGTTTAAGCCACGAGGTTGAACCCGAGGGTGAAAAGAGCAGAGGGCTGTGCAGGCAGAGGAGCCTGTGTTGGGGCTGAGGCGTGCTTGTTGCTGCCCGGGGTTTTTCTAAGGAAGCTGCGCCATAACTGAGTTTAAATAACTGGTGTAATAAATGGTTTTGGTCACGGTCTGGCAGGAACTTGAGTGTTATGTGAGCGGCAGGTATAATAATGCAGGGGAGAGGAGTTATCCGGGGGGATGCTGGCTGGAGCCACACGTTTTACCCCCCCTCCACCATAAACTAAGGGTGCTGTCATAGTTTAGGCTGGGCTGGCCACCAGTCCTCACACCGGGACAGCTGCAGCCAGCTTTCCGCTCCAGCCCATCTGGGGAGGAGGCAGGATTTGGGGAGCACCTGCACCTTTCCTTGGAGCACTTCCCTCCTCTCCACCAGAAATCACGTGTGCTCCCCCTTCCCCAGGGACGCTGCTGGGGCAGGTACCCTCACGAAGAAGCAGCTGGCGTGGGGGGGCACAGCTCTTGCACCCCCCCGGGGGCTGCGCAACTGCTTCCCAAACTGCTCCTGCTGCCCGGCAAGCTGCGAAGTGACAGGCTGTCGGAGCGCCTCCGGCTTGTTTTTTTGATAAACAGCCTCTAAACACCGTTAAATCTGCAGGGAGGTCTCTCGCCTTTGCACGTGGAGAGCCTTTTCCTGCCGGTGCGGAGATGCTGAGGCAGTCCCGCAGCTCTCGGCCTTTACAGGCACGGACCAAATTCCTCCTGTAGAAGGGGAATCATAGAATGGTTTGGGTTGGAAGGGACCTTAAAGATCATCGATTTCCAACCCCCCTGCCATGGGCAGGGATTCCACCAGGTTGCTCAAAGCCCCGTCCAACCTGGTCTTCAACACCTCCAGGGATGGGGTCCCAGGGAAACCTCCACCGGAGCTCCTCCCGCACCCTGGGGAGCCCCTCTTATCTCAACCTCTTCCCCTTAAAACCCCGCGGGCAGCCGAGGCCGCGACGTTCCCCCCGCTCTATCTGCAGCATCTGCCCAGGAAGGTCATGGAGCA